TAACGTATTCTTGCTAGCTTGTGTTCTCTCTTAACACTCTGTCCCGAATCCAGTTCAGCCAGGATTCTGTCCCCAACACTCCACCGAAACAACTCTTGCCAAGGTCAAGAATGCGCTGCATTTTGCCAAATACAATGTGATTTCTTGGTTCCCACTGTACTTGATGAAGAGCAACTCCTGCAGCTTTTTACTCCTCCTTTCTTGAGACATTTCCTCTGGTTGGTTTATAGGACCATGCTCTCCTCTACCCCACCAGGCTCTCCTTAGCAATCTGTTGACGGCTCTGCATCCACGTACCACCTGAGAGTGTGCCAGACGACTTGTCTTCACTCACTCCTACATGATTTCATCTAATTTCATAGTTTTAAGTACCATATGTGCCAACAGTCTCAAATTAGTACCTCTAGCCCAGAACTAGATCTCCTGTGACATCTAGACTCGTGCACCCAAAGGCCTACTTGACACCACACCCACGTCATCCACTAGATAACCCAAGCTCACTACTTCTAGAATTTAATTCTTGATTCCACCCAAACCTGGACCTCCACCTCTCTTCCCCTCCATTCATCCATATTTTCAGGCCCAAACCTTGAGCAATCTTTGAATTCTCATCTCCATCCAGAATTCAATAATTACTTGCCACCTCCATTATTCCCTGGCCTGGTCCAGATCACATCACAGCTCTCTGCATGGCTACAATAGCCTGCCAAGGGGCTCTGCGCTTCCACCCTAAATGGTCCCTGGATGGTCTATGCTCCATAATTCAATCACAGTGGTTGTAAAATGTAACTCAGATATGCTCACAAATTTCCAGTGATTTCCAACCTACTAACAGTGAAGTCCAAAGTCCTCAGCACAGGCTACATGGCCCTACAGGATTCAGCCCCTGCTAACTCTCTGACCTGATCTCCTACCCCTTTGGTCACACTGTTTCCCTGGCTGTTTTTATAATTGCTTATAACATGCTTCCTGCTCAGAATCTTTGCAATCACTGTTTGCTCTGCCTGGAACTCTCTGGCTGCAAATAATCTCATGGCTTGGGTGTCTGCTCAAATACTACTTTATTTAGAGAGCCCTTTTGTGGTAGGCAGAACTCTATGATGGTCTCCAATACCGCTGTCCCCTGGTGTACATGCCCTGCATAATCCTCTCCCCTGGGTGTGAACGAGACCTTTAAATATGATGGGCTATCACTCCCATGATTAAGTTACTTGATATAGCAAAGGTAAAGGGATTTTGTAGATGTAATTAAAGTTCCAAAGCAGTTGATTTTGACTTAATAAAAAAGGAGATTAATGTAGATGGAACTGGCTTAATCCAGTGGGAAACCTTTAACAGAGGGACTGAGCCCTTGAGGAGGAGGGGAGATGGTTTCCTCCTACCCTTGGGGGAAAAAAAAAAAAAAAAAAAGCAAAGTCCTGTTGTGAACTGTGTCTGTGGTGAGTGGCCTGTAGGAGCCAAAGACCTCAGTCCACAACTGCCAGGAACTGAACTCTGCCAAAACCCAAATTAGCTGGTAGAAGACCTCAAGCTCCAGATGAGCATGCCTTAACTGCAGTGTTGTGAGACACAGGAGAGAGCCCATCTAAGCTGTGCCCAGACTTCCGACCTACAGAAATGGAGAGAATAAACGGCTGTTGTTGTACGCCCCGAAATTTGTGCTAACTTATTACACAACAGTAGAAATCTACTATGCCTTCTTTAATATAAAATAGCACCCCCATACTTTCTATGCTCCTGATAGATTTTCCTTCAGGGAACTTGATTAATCATGTAAGGAATATGAATATTTGAATATTTCCTTTCCCCACCTCTAGAATGTAAGTTCCTAGAAGGCAAGAAATTTAAATTCATCTTTTTTTTTCCCCCGGTTGCATTACAGCACCTAGAACAGCGCCATGCACATAGCAGATGCTCAATAAATACTTCCAGAGTGAATGGATTTGCTGCTTACATTTATGTCAGCACAGGGTGACCACAAAAACTTAATAGCATTTAACTTTTCATTTTAAAAGGTTATTTCTCAAAGTAGAAGGATTGCCCTTAGAGGAAACCAACTATACATTTTTGGGAGATTCAGGAGTTCTCAAAAATGAAAAAAACCAAAAAAACCCCAAAAAACTGGTTTAAATGAATACCTTGAAAACATTTAGGGGAAAAAAATTTATATAATCAGGCACGAACATATATTCACCAAAAGTCATATTAAAATTCATTTCTAGAAATAAAATTCATTTCTATTTTTTGGAAGTGTTTCTAGGTGGTTAGATTCAGAAAAAAAAATCATTGATATCTCAATTTCAGTAACATTTTTAATGGATCCTTTTAGGATATCCCTCTGAGTAGTTAGTTAAATGTCCACTAAAAAGCAGTAAAGTCAATAGGATTTGTTTCTGGTTGAGCAACTAAACCAAAAAATACTGATTATTAAAAGCCATGCAAAAAGTGATTGGTTTCTAACAGATGCCAGAAGCCTCTGTTCTACTTGAACTGTTGAACATGTTAAATCAATGTTGTAGATAAAGATGTAAAAGACAGGTTCATCAGATGGGCAACTGACATATATCCAAACATTATAACTAATACGCCACACTGACAATCATGAGTGAAATATGGGCAGGGGATGGAAGGGGGAAGCAAGCAATGGGTCAAAACCAACAGGTTCACTATTACAGTGACAAATGTTAAGACATATAGAATGAGTTTTAAAACACAAGTTGCCATTCAAATTAAGCTGGATAGCCCTTCAAGTGGAAATAACAAAATCAGAGGCTTTGTTTGGCTGTTAGGTCATGCTAGATCAGTCACCAAAGTGCATGGCTATTTCAAAGGGAATGGAAATTTAGGCTGATTTAGGAGAAATATGGAGTGTAAACAGAGAAGAAAAAATCACATAATCTCACTATTGGACTCTAGCCTGCTAAGGCCACATCTGGAAGCCTGCATTTAAATATGGCTGTTACAACATTAAACTGGAAAACGACTCCATGAAGAAAGTTCTGAGGTCAAATGGGTTTTAGAGTAAACTAACTTACATTCCTCCCCTGCAGAACATCTTAGAACCTTTAATATGTTAATATTCCTTGTGATTTTCAAAATAGTGTGTGTGTGTGTGTGTGTGTGTGTGTGTGTGTGTACAGATAGATGGGCACTATGCACTGTCTCTTAGCTTATTTGAAGGTGGAAGATAGGACCAGGGATCTAAGCCACAAACTCAGGAAGAAACCACATAGGCCGACGAGGAACAAGGTAACAAAAGCAGGTGCAGACTACATGTCAATAAAAGATCGTGAGGATATAGAACAATATGACGAGAAGCAAGGCCACTTGCACTGTTTTTCCTAGGAAAAAGGAACAAGTCTTGTAAAACTACAAATGGCTCTCAGAAAAACAAGGGGATGCACTTCTTCTATATTGTTCTAGTACCTAAAGCAAAACAGTCTCTGGAGGTAAGGCTCAGGAATATGTATGTGTTTTAAAACACTCTCCAGAAGAATTTAATCCAGAGAACCTGGTATCTGCTCTGAGGGTCAGAATTGGAGCCCAGATAGGAAGATCAGTTGAATCTCAAGGAAGAAGGTGAACCATAACAAAGCGTTTTAGTATCATAGGAGTGATTCACGGAAAAAGAGCTCAAGTATGCACAGAGGCGAAATAGATATCCAGCACACCACTAAAGAAAAAATTCCTGCATATGTCAAGGAGGAGACTGGATGATGGGACTCTAAAGGTCACTCCCAACACTGCACACTCAAGTGCGCTGGATGGTAACCTCCACGGTCTCGCTCACGACTGTATCTCAGGAGCAAACACGGAGCCCGGCACAGTGGTTTTATCACAAATATTGGTGGAATGAATAAATGAACAAGTGAAAAATAAAAGTGGTATCTGGTTCCAAAGTCAAACGAGAAAGGAATGGGCCATTTCATTCTTTGGAGATCACTAAATATGCATAATTATGAATCATAATCAAGGCTACTTTCAAAAATAAGGAAAATGGTCTTTGTAATAATTTCACTTCTTGACTGGGAAATCATCTCTGAATTAAATCACACCAAAGCTTGCTGTGCAGTTCCCCTGGTAAGCATGTGAAAACACACCGCAGATTGTAAATGACCATCAGAAGTAAGGGGTGATTATGCCGACGATTATCTACCCTGACAGACTAAACTAACTCAGACAACTGGAAACTAACCTTGAAAATGAATCCGCTTTTTATAGCCATGGCTCTGAAAATGGACCATCAGCCATGTGTTTTATTTGTTTAATTGTCAAAGGAGAACATATGTGTAACTTATTTTAAAACACCTTCCACAATGTGACAGTATCCTGATTGACCTGGTGGGTGAAGCTGTTTATAATTAAGTGGAAGCAAGTATGTCTTCAGACACCATATTCTTAACAAAGAATACACAACAAGATGGACCTTACAGTTTAGAAATTCATGAAACAGAAAGAACTTTCATTCACTAGATACAAAGTCGACGCTGTCAGGCACCATATTTGTATCCATTTCCTAGAAGACTGAGGGTTCTTTCAAAATACATCTGTCATTTAGCCACAGTAGCTGATCAAACCTGCCACTGAAAAATGTTCTGAACAGGCAACTTGTAGAACAAGCATGGTTTATTTCTGTCAGACTGACTGCCGAAGTGTGAAAGAAACTCATTAAAAATCTCTTACTGTGATCTTACATTGTAAAAAATATTTTTTAAAAAAAAGGAAAAGCCCAAGAAAGAAAAGGCAAGGAAAAAAAAAACCTTAATGAAGGGTACACTGAGCCTGCAGACACACTCATCTGGTGCTTTCTTTCTTATTCTTCTGTGGTAAGCAATTAGAAAAGAGCAATTAGTCCTCAGAACACAGCATACACACTAGCTGTTTGGTGAAATCATGTAAGTTAACAATTTTATTTTATGCTAATATTATGAAAACTTAATGAAGGAGATAAGAACATTGTACTATAGGAAAAGCAATACAAAATAAACAGTATTATTTACCTTAATCTTAAAACGAGGTTCACAGCGCAAGAAGCTTCTCTATAGTCTTCGCTAGCATTGGGTAGGCCCTTTAAAAACAAAACCGCAAAAAAACAAATTAATAAAATCATGACACCCCTTGATTCACATGCCCCTTTCTTTCTGGAAATTTCCAAACTAGGTCTTTATACACATGGCAGGTCCTGTTTGGCCACATAACAGCTCTCTGTGAAGGTTGGAACGATGCCTAATTCCCATCCCAGTTGCAGAGCCAAATGTTTCAAATAGAAAACCCCACTGTAGGGTGGGTCCTATGAACAAGTGGCATAAGCTGCAGCAAGGCCAAAGAAGCAGGGTCAGCCATCTTAAAGGAGCATCCCTTAAGCTGAGCCATTGCCTGTACCCACTGGGATTTGGTGACGCACAAAAGCCGGGCACCTTAAACCTTAGGAGGCAGAGGAAGGTGGGATCCAGTAGGGATCTTCCCTGCCTTTCTCACCTACAACCTATTTCCTTAAATACAGATCATCAACCACAAATGCCTGTACTCCACAGGCCCTCCCTACTCCTACGAATCCCTGGACATGAGGAGACCTTCCTGCTGGAGTAGAAAGAGAGAGATTTCGGGTCAAGGCTTGGCTCTGCCACTGACCAAATGTGCAATCACGAGCAAGTCATTCTTTGAACCTATTTTCCCACTTACAAAATGGGGATAATACCGGTCTCAAAAGTTTGCTGGAAGAACAAATAGTATATATGAAAATGACTTATCAACTATAATGTGTTACATAATACTAGTTATCCTAATCCCCTTTCCTGTTTCCCTTATTCTATTTGCCTTCTGACAAATTATTATTCCTAACTTGCCTTTTGTCACTCAACCGGTCCTCACAATTTATCTCAAGTTGTTTTACGGAGTTGCCTGATTCAGAGTAAAAAGACCTAAACTGAATCCCGGCTCTGACTAGTTCTATAACCTTGTTCTATAACCTTGCATGAACCACTTAACCTCTGCACGTCTATGCTTCCTCGGCTATAAAATAAGGGCCAAGGACTAGTTGTCTGATCTCAAACAGGCTTCCTGCAACCATAAAATCCTATCACTCTCTCCTCAGTTTACAGCTGCTTTCAGAAAACACACATCAGGTAGGATGAAAATGAGTTTATCGATGGATATGCATATCTGGGGGGCAGAGGTGTGATCCCAAGGCTGGTGATGCTTGATAGTATAACGATTTTAGAGCAAAAGGGCTTGCCTATTAATTATACAGCAAAACCAGAATGGTGGCCTGCATCCTGGTACTATGTCCCTCCCCTGTGTTGCTCAGCACCCTGCATCAGCACCCAACACGACTCACGGCGCATGTTTTCCATCATGTAACTTTTAATATAAATAAATTTCACAGTCCCGGACTTTTATTTTTACAAGGCAAGTTGTAGAGATAAATTGGCCTATAAAATTCAATGGTAAAAGAATTATGAAAACAAGTTGTAGAAATCCAACCGAGAGCCAAAAAGAAAAAAAAGTATCAATTAAGTCTACGGTTCGTGGCTAGAATCTAACAGAATGGGGAGTCATTTTCTTTCCTTTTCTGATTTCACACCGTACCAACAATTTCAGAAGCACTGTGGTAATCAATCCTTGCTCTTGAACCTATCATTTAAAGGTTGGAGGTCCTGAAAATCATGGTCAATAGTAACAGTACTCTTTTCTCCACACCTATTAAAAAAAAGAGTTTACAAGCCTCCAATTTTGATGGACTGCCCTGAAACTGTCTATCTTCCGAAAATGTTGGTTTTCCTAAAAATAGGTCTACTGGTGGAGAAACGTACCTGAGAGTCCTGCACAGAGAGGGACTGTATCTGCTCGGGTATACGGCTGGCATTCACCGCCATCTGTCAAGAGACACACCGTTATAGCACTTAAGGAAACCAAAATGAGCAGTAAGGTCAGCGTGCTTACACCAAGTCCCTATTATCAGAGACAATTTTGCATAAGTAATTTTAAATTGTTTTTTTCCCCCAAACTGTGGTCCTTTGACACCCTTCATGGGAATCACCTAGGATGCACAGTAAAGTTTTCTGGGCCCTGCCTAGCCTAGGATTCAGAATTTCACAGAGACAAGAGAGAATGTGTATCCTTAACAAGCGCCCTGGGTGATCCTTATGCTTTCAGAGAGCCACCAAGCTAAAGTGAAAAGGCGGGGACTATTTGGTAGTTTAAATCTGCTCTAGGGCCATCTGTTCTTGTCACAGAATTTTGCCTAAAGTTAAAGGTCCCCAACGAAAGGATGTTAGGATTAGTAACCTTTAACCATGACTTGACCTTTAATCATTACTTGGAACAATTTTTTCCCTGGATTTAAAAAATACGTAAGGGTAGCTGGACTTTCAAGACACATTTCCCCAAAAGCAAAGCCAAAGCGATAGGTTATTTTTTTCTCTTGAGTTGGAAATCCAACCCTAATGTGATACTAAACGTATTTTTGCCTCAAGCTTTACTTTTGTGAACTCTGCCTTCAAAACAAAACTGAAAAGACCAAAAAGAAAAAAAAAAACTAGAAGAGGAGCAGCAATGAAAATGAAAAGTACGTATTATTTTCTAAAACTACTATCAACTCTAAAATAATCAGAAGTCATCAGAAATTTCTCACAGCAAGTTTTAAGACGTAAAATTCTTACTCTCTGGGCTTCCCCAAAATAACTACGTTAGTAATGAAGTAATAAGGGGAAGCGTACTAATGTATCTGTAATTTACTTTGAAATGCATTAAAAAATGAAGATGGACTGATGGAGGATGTACACATGATAAATGTATGATAAAGTATAGTAATGGTAGGATCTAGGTGTAGGTATGTGCATGTTCACTATAAAATACTTTTACTGTTGCTATATATTTGAAAATTTTCATAGTAAAATATTGGGGGGAAATGAATAAGCAACCTGCATTCTTTAACCAGTCAGAGGACCTGGGCCTACACCAAATGATCTCTTGTAAAGAATCCTTCAGGCTGACTGATCCCATGATCTCAATTAAGGTTTGAGATACAACCAAAAGCTATATCAGCACTTACAGAATATTCTACCTCTAGTCAAAAGACTACTCTAAACTGAAAAACCTTAACGGCATTTACTAGAGATGAAAACCTCTCTTCCTCCTAAGGAGGTTCCCCTCTCCTCCCCTGCTCCCTTATTCCTGGGCCATCATCAGGATGGAGAGCTAGTTAACTAGACTGGGGGCTGGATCCCCAAGGACCCTATGCAACCTCACTCTGTAGTGCAGCCCTGCAGGTAATGAAGAGACCAGCCTCTGGCTCTCAAAGGTACAAAAGCGATACAGGGGATTCCTCAGGAAAATATAGAGAGATGCACAGGAGGGGTGGAGAGCGAAGTTTCTTGCGCAAAACATCTTCCTTGACAACCAACTCCAGTCACCCAAATTCTACCATTATGGGTGAACATTTTTAAATATAAAAACTTACAAGAAAGCTAACATATTAAGCAGGTGTTATTCATCACCAATATAAATTTGCTTACTGGAATTTTTTTGTTTGTTTTTAAACAGTTTGTTATAAGAGGGAATGGGGGTTTTCATAGAAGGGGAAGAGAAGAACACAGGATACCACCCTGGAAATAGGCCTCTGAGACTGGGCGAAAGAGGGAAAGATCCCAGAATAGAGAAAAGAAAGGGACAATGTCTGCTAATTCTCCACAAGGCTCTGCCTAATCTTCTCCTTTTCTATTTTTAAAATTACTGTGGCAAAAAATAAAAATAAAAAATAAAATAACTGTGGCTAACTAAATGCAGTGTGTTATCCTAGATTGGATCCTGGGCCAAAATAAAGGATATTAGTGGGCAACCTAGAGCAATACGAACACGGTCTGTGGTTTAGCTGATGGTAATGTAGTACTTTTGTTTCTTAGTTGTGACAAATGAACCAGGCTCACACAAAATGGAACAGTGGGTGAAGAGTGTATGGGAACTTTGTACTATCTTTGTCACTTTTCTCGAAATCTAAAATTATTGCAAAATAGGTTTTCAGAAATACAGAAGATTTCTGATGACAAATCTAATGTTTATGACAAAAAGTCAGAAAGCCGGTCACCGGAAATAAGAACATCTTTTAGAAAATGGTGGCAGGAAAGTATGGAGTCAAAGCCATCTGTGGTGACAAAGCCATGCATAATAAATTTGGAGGCAGAAATTAAATCTGTGCCTCCATCTACCAATGGATATAATACAAACATGTATAAGAGCTGACAGGCATTTGGAAAACACAATGTCCTCAGAAATACACTAAAAAAGGCAAACGGCAGTTCTAACAATCAGGCAATAGCAATGAGTCAACATAAGCAATAAATTTAGCTTTCACATTGTGACGAACCTCTAGTAAAATTAACTCAACCTAAATCCACACCCAATTTATTTTCTCCTCAGAGCAAAATACCAGAGTCAGGAAACGTTTTCACAATTAACCTCGCCTAGATTCTGTAATAAAATTCTTCAACATAGCTCTTATGGGTTGTCGAGGGCCTCGGTCAACAAACCTTCCCACCTGGCGATTTCTGATAGGTATTTAAAACAAATCTTCAGAAATTTTGAGCACACAATCTCCCTGGATTTCAGTGTGGCCTTCCGGAGTCAGAGCAAGCGGTGTGGTTTTCCTAGCCAGTGGTTCTTGATCCTAGCCATGTATCAGAATCACATCAGCAGCTTTCTAAAAATCTGGGTTGCCTGGACATCACCCCCAACTCCCAAATCACAATTTGAGGGCTGGCTCTAGGCATCTGCATTTTTAAAGCTTTCGGTTTTTCTGTTGTGCAGCCAAGGTTGCAAACCATTTGTTTTCATGCCTAACAGAGGGGCTGGGGTAAAAATAACGCTTCCTTAGTAGAAGCCTTAGCAAATGTCTCCCTCGGTTAAAGGAAACCCAAAGAAAGTGGGAATGTAAAGATAAAGGCAATTTTACTTTTATATAGAAAATTAGGATATAAAGCAAAACCAATTTTAAAAATTATAAACATGTATTATTTTCAGAATCTGACAAAAACAGATTCCCAAATCATGGGTCAAAAAGAAGATCAATTATGAGGTAATAGCTGAAAAGTTTCCTATAAGATAGGATGGCATATAGACTAGGAAACCCCACCTAAGGAAGCCAGTCTTGCAAATACCTCCCCCGACCCCCACCTCCAAAGAGATGAGAAGCAGAGAGCCTGCTTTATATAATTCCCACAATGCCACAGTACCTAACACTGCTTCATGTAAAAATCAGGCACAGATTAGGGCGCCTGGGTGGCTCAGTCGTTAAGCGTCTGCCTTCAGCTCAGGTCATGATTCCGGGGTCCTGGGATCGAGCCCCACATCGGGCTCCCTGCTCAGCAGGAAGCCTGCTTCTCGCTCTCCCACTCCCCCTGCTTGTGTTCCTGCTCTCGCTATCTCTCTCTCTCTGTCAAATAAATAAATAAAAATCTAAAAAAAAAAAAAATCAGGCACAGATTAAATATTTGCTCAATTAACTTCATTATTAATACTATTGTTACATTAACAATATAGTCACCTTTAAGTCACCACTGGTTTTCACCATCCAAGTGGAATATTATAATAAATAAATGAAATGAGCATGAATTATCTACTTACTATAAACTATGAATTACTAGTAGGCTGTAACCAATACTTGGCAAGGCTATTTCTAAAACATCAGGTTAGGAACACAGGAGGACCAATTTTTCTATGGGATTGGCTATGAATCTCAAGACAAGCGGTGTAATTCTGGCACTTTCCAGGTTACACTGGAAATTCTCTTGGATTTAAGAGGATGTCCAAATACGGCCGAGTATCAGGCACACCTTCCCAAGGCCCCTCTAACAAACATCCCACCCTGACCTCCTTAATCTTCAACAAATGCTATAATACCTGGACATTCTGCCTTATACTTCCTAGGGAAGCCAAATTGGCCTTTACAAATTAAGCATCTAAAACACTCCCTCCTTTATTGAAGCATCTTATTCTGTCTCAACGTGGAACTACCAAGTAGGGCTCCCGTCTCTGAACTTCAGCTCGATTATGTAACATTCTGATTTTTTTTTTCCCCTCACCTCTGACCCACTCACAAATATGATATGCCTCTTCAGGCACTTGTTTAATGTCTATTTCAGCGTGTGGGTATTCACATCACCAACGAACATGTACAGAGTGTCCACTAGATGCAATGGGAACACAAATATGAATAAAATACTAGCCCTGTCTTCTAGGGGCTTCTAGTTAAGTAAATAAACTGCAATTTAAATGACAAACGTCCTTGAAAAGCTTATTAAAATGTAAACACTGGCATTTAAATGTGCAATTTGGCACAGATAAGCATTTTTACCCTTAAAGATGTTTAAAGATATAAGGTGCCCTGTCAGAGGCTATATAAATTGGTACTGCTTTTTTACTCTCAACTTTACAGAGACACAATTGACAAACAGAAATGTGAGATATTTCAAGTGGTTCACCTTTTGATAGCAGCTATTAAAAATTCAAAATCAGATTTTCTCAAACGAAATAATCAGTTCTTTTAATTCTTTAAATTACTTCACCTGCACACGTGCCCCTTGATATGCAGACACAAAACGTGAATGGAAGGCAGTCTGTAATCGTAACCTAAACGCTCACCAAGAAGTTAATGGTTAAATTAACCATTTCAATCCATCCAGGGTAATACTACTTGGCAGTTAAAAAGAGAGGCAGATCTACAGAACAACTAAGATAGGAAGATTTCCAAGATAGAACGCAAGTTGCAAAAACCAAAAAACATTTTTTGTGGAATCACTATGTTGTCCACCTGAAACCAATGTAACGTTGTGTCAACTATACTTCAGTAAAAATGTGTATGGTGTTTATAATCCCATTCACATTTTTAATAGGATACAGATTTCTTTATTTACACATTTGTATGTAAATGAGCAGAAAAAGTCTAGAAGAAAATATTGCAAACTGACAACCTCTGTGGAAAGAAGGAATAGACACGGGGCAAGAGGGGTAGCAAAACAGAGAAACTTGAAGAGCCACTTTTATTTAATGCTTCCGTAAGAAGAATTTTATGTCTTTGCGTCCCTTTCGATAACACCTACTCTGACCAACCCATTTAAAATTATAATCCCCTACCACATCCCTGTACTTCCCATCCACCATTTTTTTCCCCATTGCTCCTATTCCATTGTAACAAACCACAAATTTACTGATTTATGAAGGCTGTTGCTTGTTGTCGGTCTGCTCCCATCAAAATGTAAGTGCCACAGGGACAGGGATTTCGTGTTTTTTTTCCTCACTGATGTATCCCCCAAACCTACTAAAACAGTGTGCATAGTATGCGTGTGTGTGTGTATTTGTTGCCTATTTACACATTCAACAGTTCTAATTCCTTTCTGCAATATATAAATACTTTTTGCCTCACTTACAAAAAGTGGATTTAGGTGGGTGGCAAGTCAGGGAGCTACTTTAATTAAAAGCTGAAAGGACAGAGAAACCATCATTGTGGCGGCTCTTAACACAGCTCAGGATACTGAAATGCCAGCCTTGAAAAACAAAACAGAACAAAACAAAAAACTGGCCTGAAAAGCTATGCAATAGCAGGTGGGGCTGATTATTCCTAAAATGTGGTAAAAGTGTTTACATTCAAAGACATGAACCTTTTCACAAAAATAAGGCTATCTATGTGTTCCTTAATTATGAACCAGCATGGGAACAGACATATGCCTCTGGGAAATCAAATGAGCTGAGACACAGAGAAGTGCCTAAGACTTTCAAATCCCACCCAAGAAGGTCGAGAGTGAGGATGATTAACTGTCAGTGTGCTATCCATTACTCTTTCCTGTCTGTGCAGAAAATATTCTTGCCAAAAAGATACTGTTAATATCCAAATAACAGATCAGTTATCAGCAATTTCAACAAGCACAGAGGAGGATATTGTCACAATAAACTAAAATCCTCAAGAGGAAAGACCCACACCCATTAGTCTGCACGAGGGAAGGCTGGATTCGGTGAATACGCTCCGATAAAGACGTCCCACAGTGAACCAATACAAATGCTTTCTGCATCACGCTGCCACTTGAATCACATTATTTTGTTCTATTTCTAGGCAGGATGGGCACTTCTGGTTCGAGACACTCTAGGAAATAGATGAAAAACCTTAACTCCACACTTCACTGTGGGTAAAATAGGCAAGTGGGCAGGGAGACAGCACAGTTCACGATACCCGGTTAAGATCATTCTAAAAGCCAGCACATGTGTGCAGCTGATGGGTCCTACTGTGGAGCTTATCACCATTGTTTGTAACAGGGAGGGATAACTTCCTTGATGAAGCTTATATGTTATGTACAAAATGAAAAAGATGAATTCCTATGATAAACATAGGAAGAAACAGGAACTGAAGGACAGGTAACAAGGGGAGGCAGGCAGGCTGAAAAGTCCTGAGGGGAGGCCTACTGGTGTGGCAGGAAGGATGAAGAGACCGGAGGGAGGGGAGAGTGACAGGGAGACAATGGCTTGTAGCTCGGACGTGCTCTTCGCAGAAGGGCCAGCTGGCAACTGCCCCTTGTAGTGGACGGAAGATTGACCTCGTTGCATCAAAAGGAAATGTCTGCTAATTTAAAAAAAAATAAAAGTTGGGGTGGATCCCATTTGTAACCCAAAGTCTTCTGTTTTCTTAATGAGAATTTATCAAGGCATACATTAATTACTAGGTCTATAAAATATTTGGAGCTATTTAAATACGCTCAAATTTTCTCTAGGAGAATTGGCAAGTCTTTTGAACTACAGTCATCATTAGGCATTAGGATAATTAACCAGATGGAGGAAGTTAAGTTAATCAAAAGATGACTAGTTCTCAAAGGGAAGCTGACAAGTGTTCCTTGCCTACAAAGCTACCCAGGACACTGTAAGGCCAAGACAGACAGATCCAACGTGAAGTTTCCAACCAGTTTCTATCTGCTTTATTGTAAACTAAAAAATCTAGAAGAGATTTAGCCTGTATGCCTGCTGTGTTTTCTAAAGGACAGTAATATGAGTTGGATCAACTGAGTCCTAAGTTGAGCACCCAGTGAGCATTTTATGTACATGATTTCATCAATCCTCAGAGCAATTTAAAAGTAGTATGATCATCACCATCTGACAGATGAAGAAACGGAGGCTCAGAGTAAAATCATCTGCCCCAATTTATAAAGCCCAAGAGTAACTCACAATTGGGACCTGCAAAGTCTACATGCCTTTTCTTTTCTGCTATTCCACGAGAACAAAATTTTGAAGTCTCTTTCCCCAAATGGATCACATTCTGACGCCACAAGGGGTGGTGGAGGGGGCGG